TGCGCAATTGATCCCCAACAAGGCTGAGCAACATGCTTGTGGTAACTTTTAGAAACAACTTCCTAGACTGGTTCAGCCAGCCCCCAGGGCCAGCCCGGCTATGATTTTCAATGGCTTTTTGCTTGGCAATTTGAGCAAGTTCAACCACTCCTACCAAATCAGGATCGACTGAATTTATATGTATCCTACTGTCTTCTCTATAGCTTGTCAGCATAGTGTTATGGAGAGTTGGGTGCCACCTTAAAACTGTGAGGCACTTGACAAGTATATAAACTGCAGCATAGATGAAAACAAATCATCATAGAGCCGAGAAAATATTTATATTTTTTATCAGTTTCTCCTTCACCGTTATTTTCTTTTTTAAAAAAAATGACATTTTCTGGAAGCATAGGACAGTTCTCTAAAGAGACAGGGCCATAAACACAATTTCTCAACATGAGATTCCAAAATACCCAACAGAGAGCAGCTGGCACGTATCTAAAAAAGTAGTGAGACAGCACAACCTACTGGCTGGAAGAAATGATGTTTTCTGCTTCAGAGGAGCATCCATATACAGGCCTTTTTAACATTAGACCAGAATGCTGTATATTTTCCTTCTTACCAACTATGAAAACTGCAGTTAAAGCTAAAAAGAACAGCATGAGACTATGACCTGTCCTTGGCTCTCTCTCTATAGATGGTATGAACATATATAGACTGTATGTAGGAGCTTCAACACAAGGAGCAATAAAAGCATCTCAAATGGGGGACACAAGACATTTTTTTCAGGTGAGTATGGGGAAAGGCAAAGCTCTGAATTCAGGACAGATTGCCAGGAAAATTAGATTTCACACTGTTTCGCAGGGGGACCGTGCAGCTACCCTAAAATCAAGACGGGAATTTAAATCCCAGTTTGAACTGAAGGAGAACTGGTTTCCCTTATTAAACTCTCTGGCAGAAGCAGGTGTTTAATAGATCTGAAGAGAGAATGATCTCCACTCCCGAAGTTCATCATAGTAGTCCCAAAGTTTGTGCTCATGTAGGGTATCAGTCACAGGCTGCACCTACATAGTCAAAAATCCTGCAGCTGCAAGTCCCAGCAGAGATTAACTGAATTGGCTAATGGAGCTTGTGCTACGGGATAGGGTCTCAGAGACTGAGCCCCAGCCCAGCCAGGAATTCTTAGCCCCATAGCGTGAGCCTGAGTCAATTGACCTGGTCTCCCACATTAAGCACTGTGGATCTTCTTTGCAGTGTACAAATACCCTAAGAGCCTTAAAACGAAGTCCCACATTTATTTGCTTGTTGAATACAGAAGCAGTGAACACTTCCCCTTCAGTAGACCTGAACCCTGACTCAAAGGGACCTCCCCAGATAAGTCTCCCAGGCCTTTCGTTTGACTTCCTTGCTGAAATGGTCAGCAAGACTGCTAATGCTCATGGGAGCATTTATGGTGTGGATACCTGCACACCAAGAGCAGGAGATCAGCTGATTTGATATAGACCAAGCAGCCACCAGATGATGATATCTATTTGCTACTCTGATGGTGATGAAAATAAAACAACTTCAAAACATTGCTGACTGCATGATACCAATTACACTGGTCTTAAAACCTATGCCAAAAAAAAAAAAATCTCAGCCATTACTGCTGGGAATAATTAACCATTCTAATGATTCACTCTTGGTAAAAGGAAGAAGGTGGCAGTCACAGTCAGTTACTACCTTGCCTCCAGCACATACAATACTGCAAGCCACCAAAATGCTAACAGCAATGATGCTCCATACCTGCATTTTCCTCTTTACGGTCTCAAAGGGAAAGGAGAGTGTTTGTGCTACCCCAGCTACAAGGCAGCCATTGATGAAGTTCTGAAGGGGAGAGAAATGAAAGCTGGGCTCTTGCCACATTTTATTCAGATTGATGTAAACAAAGAACGAGCCAGCAGAAAATGGGATAGCACCTGTAAAGCAAACCAGACAGAAAAGATTCGTGTGAGTGCACAGTACAGTATAAAGAGAGCTACATGCTTCCTCCTAGCCTTGTCTAAATGTCGGGGACTGTCAGCTAGTGTAAATCTTGCTTTTTTCCACTTGGAAAAACCTTTACTTGTTAGATATTCATTTGTCAAGGGAATGACCTACTTATTTAAGCCTCAGGTTTCAGGTTACAAATATGGCATGAGGCATTTACATTTACATTTCCAAGAGGGTCCGTATATTGTGTTGGTGCCTCTTATTGCTTTGGGCTTCTGAAAGATTAATCTTTCACTCCATTCCTGACACAACCGGGATGCCCTTTAGTCCAACATTCTTTTCTCTTGCCTTGTATATCATTTGTTTTCTGCTGTCACCAATTCTAAGTTTTGCTTGTAAGTTATCAGAATCAATTTCTGCAAACATTTATATTAAAATGTGGTATCCTGCAAAGCTACAGTGTCAACTTTTTTATAAGAATAAAAAATAAATATAATATAAAATAAATAAAAATGCCTCATCTATCTCAAGTAAGGAGAAACACCACTGCTTTGGCTCACTTTTCAGGAGCAACATATTATTATTACATAGCATCCACAGTCACAGGGGAAAGTGGGACACAACAGGCCAGTACGGTAACGCCACTGGGATGTAAAAGAGTAGCTGATTAGTCGACTACCCTAAGCCTAGGCTTATCAGGTAGTTGAGTCCACTACTCACATTTCCCACCCCCTTGATACTCCTATATCAGAAACAGGATCTGGAGTTGGGGGGAGCCAGCCCCTACTACATTTAAACTGCAGAGCCGCAGTGGCCCCTTATAGACTAATCATGTACTTGATACAAATTGTATCGAGTACACAATTAGTCATTTTCTTGCTACTTAACATCCTTAGTACTCCTGTGAGAACCAGCTCATACACGGACAATGTTAAAGCACTGTCGCTGCCTCTTTTGCTGTCCCCCAATGTTTATTTTTACTCTACTCACAGTGCACTGTGTGTACACAGGATTTTTCTTAAGTGAAGGAGGAGTATGTTGCCTCTAAATGTAGCCAGGTAATCCAGAGAAGACAAGCAAGTGCATCGTCTCAAATTCTTTTAGCCACAACCAGTAAAGATTAGGGATGTAAAATCCCAGTTAATCAGTCAAGTTGACATAATGTTTAACTGGTTAACTAAATAGTGGGATCTCATGGTTCCAGCTCCCCAGCCTGCGGGGCTCCCATTCTCTGTCCCTGTACTGGGACTGGGGCTGTCATGCGGGGGCTGGGCTGGCTGCTAGGGCCTGTTCTCGGCCCCAGCTGAGAGGGGCTGCCCCCAGGGAACCAGTTAACTGTTCCCCAGTAAGCATCACCCAATAAAAATGATGCTTACTGGGTACATGTTCACACTCTTAGTAGAGATTAAATTATGAGCAAGAGCTGCCAGTTTAGAGACAACTCAGCTACAACAGAAATAACAAATACGTGAAACCCGTTGTGACCTGCTTTGTACATCTAGATGTCCTCTAAAGAGAGGCATTTTATTGTTTGCACATTTAAAATGAACTGGGCAAACACACATGAGCGAGGTACTGATGTTTCAATACATAATGTACAGTAAAGCTCAGAGATATTCTTTCCTATTATTAGTTTACCTAGTACTGTCAGCGAAACACCGCGATAAAGTGCAAGGAATCCTTCTTGATGAGAAATTGTGCAAAACGCATGGAGAATCCCTTTGTAAGATGGTTCCAACCGGTTCTGCACTATGAGTCGTGTTTTTACCACATCGGTAGGGTAAGTCACTACAGTTGCAACCATGCCAGCCAGGCTTCCGGCCATAATGGCACTCCAGTGGGAAATGTGGCCCATGTCATCCATGAAGAGCATGACAAACCTAGAAGAGACAGATAAAAGAGGAACTATTAATTATGACTCAAAAATCTGGTATAAAAATGAAGATAGTCCTTGATGTAATAGTTCTTCATCCCATCTGCTTATCTGATCATAAATAATACTTAGAATTTCAATGATACACATGACAAAACCTGAGCAAGCCTCAAAACCTCCATGAGGCAAGTGATAATTGTAAACCGGGGGGGGGGGGGGGGGGGGGGGAATAACTCACCCAAAGCCACAAAACAATTCAGTGACTGACTCCCAGCCTGCCAGATATAACCACTATGCAATACTTGCTCAGTTTTCTTGGATGTGACGCACCAGTGCAAGAAAAACAATGTTAAGGCTTTTGTCACTGTGGTATTTCAAAGGGCCACTGGTTTGGTTTTCACAGCTCAATAAATGGGAACTCTAATGAGAGGCAGCACTTCAGTGCCACAAAACAATTCAGTGACTGACTCCCAGCCTGCCAGATATAACCACTATGCAATACTTGCTCAGTTTTCTTGGATGTGACGCACCAGTGCAAGAAAAACAATGTTAAGGCTTTTGTCACTGTGGTATTTCAAAGGGCCACTGGTTTGGTTTTCACAGCTCAATAAATGGGAACTCTAATGAGAGGCAGCACTTCAGTCCCATCTATTCTCTGCCTGTAGCAATAACAGTGTAGTCTCCTGTGGGCTGCAATACTATGATCTAATTTTGGTTGTTGGGTTTAGTGTGCAGGTGCTGGGTGGTTTTAGCAGCTTGTGATATACAAGACATCCAACTACACAATGATCTGGTGATTCCTTCTGGCCTTAAACTCTATGACTGTCTTTACATCTACCAAGATGAGTCACCATAACACAAAACATGACTGTACAGACATAATAAGCTCAAGCTGTTGATTCATGGTTTCGGTTATCATCAGGAGATCAAGGGTAGGACTAATTCTTCCTAACAGGGTCTCCAACATGCAGGTTGGACCTCGCTGGTCTGGCACTCTCGGGACCTGAGTGGTCCTGAATAAGGGGATTTGCCAGACCAGGGAAGGTCCCTCCCCTCGTGGCCGTGCTGCCACTGGGCTAGGGCTCCTGCCTGCCTGTGCCCGCTGCTGCCTCTTCCTGGTCTCATTACTCCTGGGGCTAGAGCACCACTGCCAGAGATCCACCACAGCCGCCTGGCTCTGCAGCAGAGGATCCATGGCCCAGGTCAGAATTCCTTGGCTGGGGACAGTGGTCCATAGCCATGGCCAGGCTAGAACTCCCCAGCCGTGGGGGACAGAACTCCCCACCATGCCATCCCCTCCTCCCCCCCCGACACACTCTGACCTCCCAGCTGAGTTGCCGATACCCCTAATGGCACTCCATCCCCTGCCACCAGCCCTCCCTCTTCCTGGGCTCCACAGTCCAGGAACATCCATGGTCCACACCAGACCATGCATGTTGCCGGACCAGGGAGTCCCAGTTAAGGGAGGTAAAACCTGGACTCGAAAATCCAGTAGGAGTTTGGAAAATATTCAGCAATCTTCATCACAGTCCTTCTGAGAACAGCAGAAGATTCTGTGTTTCATTGTTGCTTCAGGGGAAGACTCAAGCTCAGACACTATATTGTGTCAAGCATTAAGTCTAGGTTTGAGTTTGCTATTAAAACAGCAACATTGGCGAGTTTTCTATTTTTCCCTAACTTACTTCTAGCATCCTGGAATCTTCAAGTGTCGTCTCTGATTCAGGCACTTGTGATTCAGAGGGCAGCATAAGAGCCTGCAGTGTAGGGATGTAAGTGAATAGTTGACTACTCAACTAAGCATAAGCTTATTGGGTAGTCCAGTGGAATACTCAACTACTCCCTCCCTCCCTCCCGCTGCCTCTGTATGAGAACTGTATGAGAGGCAGCTGGGAGGGAAGGCGGGCGGGGGGAAGGGGGGGAAGAACAGTGCTGGGGGGAGCAGCTTAAATGCTGGTTCCCCCCCCCCAGCACTGTCTCCACAGTTCTGCCTGTCTTCCCCTGCCCCCCGGTGCTGCTGCTTCTATCAGAGGCAGCGGGAGGAGAGGGGGGAATAGGAGAGGCTGG